ATCATCACCTAGTTTTGCTCGCTCTTACTGAGGTTTCTCAGAGTCCTCTTCAAGTGAAATCATCTTCATTCTTTTACCACTTTACATAGCTAGTAAATATTGTGTTACACTTCTCCAGTGCTGAACTGCAGAGCATTTCAATTTTAACCTCCTTTAGTGCTGAAGGTAGGTTATTTATTCCTACTATTTTCTCCATGAGTGTTCAAGCCCCATGACAGAATTTATCATGTGGAAAATCTGGCTAGCTGCCAACCGCAATGGATGGTATCAAAGACTAGCTAAGTTACACACACACAGGCCTCTCCCAGGTCTCTTCAATGCTTCATGAACTTCCTTGTAGCCAAAAGGAGGGGGAATAGGAACAATGGACTTTGAACTTGGATACAGTACTTGTCATAGACTCACAGAGTAATTCAGGCTGGAAGGGACCTTCAGAGGATTCTAGTCTAATGTTCTGCCCAAAACAGGGTCAGCTTTCAGATCAGACCATGTTGCTTGGGGTTTATCCAGTCAGGTCTTGAAAATCTCCAAGGATGAAGACTGCATGACTTCTCTGCTTAATTTAGAAATTTCCTTCTACTCCACTTAGTAACAACAGAAATATTGATGGAAGTGGTAATTAAAATTGCAAATACTTGAACATAAGTCCTTTATAATCACTGTGAGACTTTCCATGGCGTTCAGAGGGCTGGCACATGCAGTGAAAATGAGTCAAGATGCACTCATGGCTTTCCTCCATGCAGAGGAAGTATCTTCAAGCATTGGATGCCCACTCGGCCTAGATATTACGGAAACTACAAATAGATTATTAATCATTTTTTCCTACTTGGAAATTATATGCAGTGCCTTCTTACTGGGCTTTCACCCTTCAGGCAGCTTTAGTTTGACATCTGTAGCCAAGGCAATTGAAGAAAGCTAGCAATGGTTTCACAGGCAGTACCAACAAGTGACAAACTCTGATTTTTCCTTTTTTTTTTTTTTTTTCATTTGTCCACACCTCTGAGATTCTTGGTCCAGCTATTATGTTAGTTATGCCTGGTCCTGTCACTCAGCAGACTTCTAAGGTTTCTCTACTCTCATTTCTATGTTGCTCTGATTTTTCTGTGTATAAAAAGTGTTGGAGTAGCACTGGTACAGACTGAAAAATTTGTGATTACGAAATCAGTGTCTAGAAAACTGATGTAACTCTGCTGTTCATTGCTTGGTGACTGGTTAGAGGGCAGTCCAGGGCTCTTCCGAAGCCAAACTGTGGGTGAGTTTGCTCCTTGCAAAAGTCCTTCAATAATATTTATGACCTGGTTCAGTTATGAAATGAGTGTTTCAATTCTCTTAGCTAAGGACATGCATAATAGGAAAACCCTGAATTTAAGGAATTGAATTTCACACCCTGTTGTTTGAACATGCTTGCTAAGGGGAAAAATGTTTTCTGAAAAATTGATGCGTAGTCAAAACAGAATTTAAATTAGTTAACATTTGAATTTAAACTGCTTAACTATAGAGTTTTTATCTTCTAAATCCACCCTACTATATAAACAGTGTTTTTACTATTCAAATGAATTTAAATGGGAATATATTTAAGGGAACTATCTGTCTTTTTTATAACAGATGCCAGAAGCCCTCTATTAAGAATATATCCAGTAACTTTACTTGCAATACTCCTAGACCTGCCAAGTCTTCCTTTTGACTGTGTTGAACTCTCCCTGCCCTGTACCTAGCAGGCAGCGGTCAGTGCAAGGGCAAAGCAGCAGCCTTGCCCCTCTGCATTCTTTGGAGCTTTTAGCAAGCTGCCTCTGGAGAAGAGAGCTTTTAGTGCCACACTGTCAACTAGGGACAACCACACAGCAGAGTGCTGCTCGAGGACATGCTCTTCACAGTGACCCTGAGCTTTGCTTTCACACCTGCCATGTGAATATACGCATCATGTGCATCTCCAAGCATGTGATCCCAAACCAGCAGCATCTTACTTAAGAAACATGTTTACCTTCTGGCTTAAGTTAGCCCATGACTTTTACTTGCTGTGAAAGCAGTTTAAAATAGTCTATTTTGAAGCACGGTTATGTGTCTATCAGGTTGTCTCAGGCACTGAGGGGTTGGGATGCTCTGTGGAAGATGATACACTCTGTTGTACCTGCCCCAGCTACAGTTCTGCTTCTGAGCAAAATAAGCAAAGTTGGAAGAGCCCATGGTGGGGAATATCCCTTAGGTAGGAAAGGCTTTACAGTCTGTGTGCATCTGTATCAAGTATCAGCCACTGCCTGAATTAGTCACAGAAAGATAAGCACAGATCTAATTTTTCCATTCAACTTTCTGAACATTACAGATGCAACTGCATGAAGAATATATTTGATGATACATACAGTTGTCAACTGGATTTGTCAATATCTTTTATGCTGGCAATAAAAATGTATAGTCTATTTAATGGTGCGATACCATAACAGTTATTCAAATTCTTTAAACTCATCTTCTCAAGAAAGGAGATAGAAAAGGCACAATCTTTAATGAGCAACCCCTGGATGCTACATTGTTATACACATGGAAGTAGCTCATAAAGCTGAATTTCTCCTTTTGATCAATCTTATTCTCAGTGAAGTACTAATGATTGTACCATTCCAATTTTTAATTTTTATTTTCTTAAACTAGGGAAAACAGTTTGGAATGATGTTGAATGTATCACTGATTTTAGGAAGACACCGAAAGGGCATAATGTACTTGGGTGTGATGCCAAATCTTTATACCAACATGAGAAGTGCAGAGTCAGATTGTGAGGACAAAGTTTAAAATATTTTATTCAACAGTCAAAACTATAATCTGCTTATTTCCACTGAAAGTCATTGCTATATTTTCAAGTTGTGGATCAACCACAAAGACTATTCAACGTGAAATCACAATTACAACATTTATCAGAACAGTTATCAAAAAACAGAGTTCATTTTTTTACTAGCAAATATATTTAATACCAGCTGAACAGTAGCTCTTCCAAAAACTGTCTCATCAATTGAGAGATTAGATATAACATTACATATAGAAATGCATAGAATTTCCTACAGTAATTCAACCAAAGAGAAGTTTTATAATATAAGCAAAGATATTTAATCCTACAGTTCACCTGTAACTCACAACTTCACGCATATGAAAGCAGGGGAAGGAGAGGTTTTGATATGGTAAATGATATGACAAGTGACTACAGGAAAGGGACAAATTAGAGTTTAGAGGTTTGTGTGTGACATGGGCTCTGGGAGAGATTTTCTCTTATATTACATGTACAACTAGAACTACTGAATCAAGCGATTATAAGTAGCCTGTAAGTTTTTTGGTATAATTTTAGATTTCCATTCCAGATGGCAATTCATAGCGAGATCCTTTTCCTTACACAGTCACATACACATCCTATATTATTTGCAAATGTGCAGGGAAAGATTCAAAGTAATTTCTTCTTTATCCTACATTTCCCCAGCTGCTGCTACACAAATTGTAAACATAATCTTAGTGTACTTCACAATTTCCTATGATTCTTATTAAGGGCTAGAAATTGAGAATTGAGAATACTAAACTGTAAGCTTCCTTCTTTTGTCAGTAAAGGTGTGGAGTTTGGGTGATTACTGAGCTCATATCATGCAAGCAATATACATATTATAATTGCTATTGCTATGCTATTCCTGCATGATGTCCACTTTAGAAGTCATTCACTAATTAACAACAACAAAAAAAGTGTTCTGGTGTAACACATTGTCCTTTTGCAACATTTTTTTTTTCTTTAGTCCTTTTATGGATACATTGGGAAAAACTTGTTAGTGAAATCTAAGTACATATTAGTATGTATTTCAGTCAGGATAGGATTTCCTAGGAAATGTTTAAATTGCAATAATCAAGCCATCCCTTGGCTAAAAGAAATTAGGTGGAAGTATCTGGAGTTCATTTGAAGACTAATTCAACAGTTTATTTTGGCAGTTTGCAGTGCCTTTTCTTTTGAGATAAGTGGAAAATTCAGCCCAAGGAGCAAGTGTTTTGCTCAAGTTGAACTGATGCATCTCCCACTTGGGCAATTCTACACCAAGAACATGGCTTCAAAATTGCACGAAGCACAAACTGCCAGTGAAAAAGCAGTGCCACACAACACTGCCACAATATACTCACCGAGCCACAGGATGAGCCAAATCAGGGACCGATCCAGGCTGGCAAAGGGAAGAGATGATATTCCCCCAGAACAAGTCCACAGCAATGATGCTGGACCAAGAAAGATGGTGGGAAAGCCTGACAATGGTGGGGGAAAGCTGTCTCCATCCCTCCTGACAGTAGCATGAGCATAGGCCAATGAAAAATGATCCTGAAAGTGTAGCACTCTATGGCAACATGCCAAGAATTGTGGCACAAAGTGATACTCTTGTGCCATCAGCAGAATTGATCTGGTGCTTCAGCACATCACAGTCTCCATCCTCCCTTATCCCTGCTCTTTTTCCCAGCATAGTACCTGCTATTGCACCACAGCCAAATGGTGATTTGGGGGCTAAAAGGAGAGCTGCTACACTTACCCAGTTAGCGTAACTCTACAATATGTGAGTGATCATGCACGTGAGCATGGCAGATTAGCAGAATCTGGAAGAAAGGGTATATTGCTGGTGTTTCCAATTAAATGATTTCTTGGGTCTGTCTCATGTGGAGTCCCTGAGGCAATCAGGCACCTCCTAGATGCAAATCTTCCTTTTCATTGTTCCTGCTGCTATAAAGTACATAATCTTGAAAACCAAATCCATGTCAATAGTAACCATATGAAAACAAAACCATGTGAAATGGAAATCTAGAGACCCTCTTTAGTATATATGTTTTCTCAGGGCAGTAAAAAGATATAGATAAAAATCATTTGCCTTGTGTATGATATGGTTTTCATTGGTTTTGTAATGTTTTAAGTGACTTAGCCCTCATACCAAGATGGGGAAAACTAAAATTGCAGGTTTTCTTTGGGTGTGAAATGTAATTAATTAATTCCTTTCTTTATTTTACAGGGACATCAAACCTGACAACATACTACTGGATGAGCATGGTAAGTGAATACTGATTGCTTTTTCTCAGATATCTCTAATTCTTGAATTCTCAGTGACATGGTCATGACATACTTTGTAAATCAGCCTCAGATTTTGGATTCCTACCTAACTCTGGACTTTCTCTGTAAAGTACCTCTGTCCCTGATGTCGATTTTGTAATTTCCCCTCCTATTGGGAAAAAAAAAAAAAAAAAAGAAAAAAAAAAGAAGACCCAAAAAAGAAATAATTTAATATGAATTGAGATCCCCAGGGACACCTGATAAAAAGAAGTTAATATTTTATTAACAACATTACTGTGATCACCATAATCCCTTTTAAGGGGCCTACCTATAGAAAAGTACCATGCACTTACTTTCTCTTTTAGAACTTCTGAAGAGCTAAGAAATTTCATATAGCAGATTATTTTTCAGGTAGGTATCTCAAATTACTTTCCTAAATTTAGATAGAGAATTTGGAAATTTGCATCTAAGTCTGCAAAATTTTTATGGCTCTACATGTAGTTCTTGCTTAAAGAACATAAAAATGACTAGACAGCATAATCAGCTTTACACTTTCTATACTAATTCCATGTCAAATAAAAAAGACATGGTATATATATTTAAAAAAAAGCACGGCTGATTTCTTTACACTTAAATTTTATATGTACACACTCTCTATGAAGTATTTTGTTAATACCTCATGCATCTTTTTGCAACTATTCAGAGGAAGAACATGGGAAAATACAGGTAAAGAAGGCATTAACTTTGAATCAGTTACAACAGAAATGCGTACAGGAGGAAGGCTAAATGGAAAAAGGAGATGTGTGTTTGTCACGTTGTCTTGCTGTGCTTTGTACACCTCAGAAATTGACTAAAAGCAGTTAATCTTTGAGAAAATATAAACTTGAAATGATGCCAACATTACCATTATCTTTCAAAATCCATTGCAGATCTTCTGGGTATACAAGTTGATTAAAGAGGTAATGTTGCAAACAGTGGGAGCTGGTCCCTAGGATTATGGAAGCCAACAAATCTAAATAATGTTGGAGTTTTAAACCATCTAGATCTTCAGGAATTTAATGTTTCAGACCCATAAGTGTTAATGTTCCCTAGACATTAATATCAGCAAATAAGCATGAAATAGAAATCTCTTGTCTTTAAGTCCTGTGTGAATTAAAAATGTCAAAGGCAACATGGAATGACTATGAGTGTGTTAAATCTGATTGACAGCCTTTGAAGTACCGATGCCCTTATCTTTCCTTGCCCCTCATCAAGGTCAATTACTGCACAAAATCAGCCTCTTGTGAGAGCTTTCCTATGGGGGCTCAAGTATTGCAGAGAAGAACCTGTACTGCCATGAACAAAATATGCTGCAAAATAAAGGGGGTTTTGTGATTATAAGTGCTTCAGCAACAAAATTATCTGTAGCCAGCTTGGAAATTTTGGGATGGATAGCCCTTTTCTGCAAAGCAGCAGAATATTGCTGCCTCATACCACACCCAAAATCAAGTGGTAAAAAAACATGTTTCTCCAGACTTGCAGATAGACCTTGGTCAGCAGAATTAATCAGCTCATGGATCCTTGGTACAACAGACCTGTTATGTGTTTGGGACATGCAATTCTCTCAACCTGGATAAGTGTACACACACTTCAACTGACTAAATGAGGTGACATCAGTAGGCCAGGTGTCTGTACTGTGCTCATCACCACGGGCTTCCTTTACAGATAACTGAAAGTCAGACATATTTTAGATCATCTGATCTATTTTGGATGTCTGCACTATACACCAGTATCTATTTCTCTTTGGTAACAAATATCTGGAAACTTTGAGTAAAGATATAGACATCCTCCTTACAGATGTACATTTTGCAAGATGAATGCTATCCTTGGAGTCCATAGAAGCTTTCATTAGGCCACAACATAGTAACATTTTTATGGAATCATCAGATTTCACTTAATGGAAAAATGTGCTGAATATATGTACCATAAATATGCTAGGCTGTAGAGGAAGCATAACATATTCACCTAATACGAATCTAACCAGGTGAACAGGACAGAACTTTATTTTAGCCTGTGGCCTCTAAGATGTCACAACAGTTTCCTATATGCTTGAATTTACCCCTAGGTCTTTCTTACAGTTCATTAAACAAGCTGTGCTTACACAAAGTAATATAGAATGCATATGCACAACTTTTAGGACTGTTTGTCTCAATGAGTTAGATTTCTTTGACCTCACTGAAGAAACCTATTTTGGCTGAAGTGTTACGCCATTCACATTGCCTTAAATCTTCAAGCAGTTAAACTGACTGACTTTCATAACATATACCAAAATTATAGATTATAGATAGTTCTACTCATTAAAACTAGTTTCACTACAGTTTATCTGCATGATTTAGGGAACATACCTCAGGAATACAGAAGTAATGAAGACAGGAGACTTCCTTAACTCATAAAAATGAACGATCTAATTTACAAGGAAAAAAACCACAAAAATGTATACAACATATTTAAAATCATTCTGTCAGAGGATGTCCGAATTTTCCCATATACTTTTCAGCAAAGTCACATCTCAACACTGCTGAGCAAGAGTTCTGATGCATCAATGGAAATCAATGTTTGATGATTGTGAGAAACATAATGCTACATGAGAATGGGGTAATCAGCTGCTTCAAACAGAGTTCAGCCCCTGCCAGAGATGATTGCCTGGTCTCCTGGAAAGATTCTCCATCCCACAGAGGAGTCTGCTCAGAGGAGAGAAAGTATGGATGATTTCAGGATTCACTCTCTGAACCAGAATCAGACCTCTCTAAGGAAATGAATGCTGTCCATAAAGCTCTGTTGTTATGTTTCCCGTTCAGCTTTCCTGGAAAGCTCTTCCTCTTATGACTAACACTAATTTCTGAATTTAGTAATAGTGCTCTGTTCTGCTAACATGCTTCTGAAACAGAATTATTCCAGTGATAGCTAAAGGGACTACCTGACTGTTCAGGAGAGCTATTATTATTGTATTGTACAGATAAAAACATTATAGAATTCTCTTAGTAACAGTATTCTTCTTCCTCTACTAATTATTTTCTTTTAATGCTTTAGAACAATATAACTGAAATGACAGCATTTAGAACCCAAAGCTGGAAAGTCTGGTCGATGTTGTATTTTTGTCTGAAGTATCAAAGAAATTACAGCTGTCTAAATCTTTCCATGGTCTATTAGCTATGATGTCTTAGGAGATGTAGAATGCCTAAACTGAAGAAAAAGAAGCAGTAGCAAACAGATCAGTACATTGCCTTTTTTTGGAGATGATAGCTTCATTTCTATAACTATTTGGTAGCACCACTGATATTAACGTTTCTGGTTGTTCTGTAGAAATTACAAGACTCTACTTTGGCATCCAGGTTTTGCATTGTACAGAGTGACCACAGCATTATTACACTCTGTTTACAGGAAATATGCAAGGGTCTGACTTCCTCTCAGGCAAGTTTTTTGGGACACCATTTCATAAGACTCAGCAAAGTCCCCGTTTGCTTTACCAAGAAAGAACGGGATCCCTGCTGGGTCAGACCCAAGCTTCAGCCAGTTTCTGTCAGAATCAGTGGCAAGACGTTCTCTTTGCCACTTGGTCATCGAATGCTTTAGTGCTTCCTATCACCCACGATTTTTGTATTAGGATATTAGAGTATCTCCGTATATTCCCTTTAGAATCTGGATGAATCATTATTAATGAGTTTGTCTACTGCCTCTTTGAAGCTGCTTCTGATATTGGCCTCTACAACCTCCTGGAGCAACAAGTTGTAGAAGTTCACCATCTTTCATGAAGGAAAAGTGTTTTGTTTATGTGTTGTAAAACATTATTTTTTCAAAAAAATAAATCTTCTGCAACTAGAATTACAGAATTTAGTGAATAATAGCTGACAATCACAATCTTCATGATATTAAAAAACTCCTTCTGCACTATCCTGTCAGCTGAAGAGCCTCAGCCTTTTTAAGGCATTGCTCTGGTCCTTTTGCCCCTCTCTCTTGCCATAGATAGTGTTACAGATGTGCAGGCTTTCAAATTCAGAGCAGAAGAGCAACCATATTGGATCAAAGATCCATCTAGTTGAGATTCTTATCTACAAAAGTCTCCAAAAAGTGAATGACAGAGCAGGATATAAACCAAGACAAGTTTCTGTATTTCCCCCACATACTCACCAAACCTTCAGCCTTTTGTGACTGAGGCATTTCTTGAGCTGGATATGGTTTCCACACATTTGATAGCTTTCAGTGGTCTTTTCCATGGTCTTTGCTGGTGCTTCCTTGAGCGAAGGTAACTTTTCCCATTCTTAACATATTGTGGCAGTGGTCCTTAGCTTAAACACATATTATGAGTAGACTTACTATCTGTTTGTTCATTTTGAAGGTGCTACCTGCTAATTGCACTGAATGTCTCCTATTTCTAGTCTTGGAACTGTTTCTTGGTGGTTCTCCATATGAAATCACAAACCTAATATTTCACTCTTAGACTTAACAGGACTAATTATATTTAATCAGGTTTTGGAGGTTTTTTGACTGGGTTTTTGAATCTTTTAGTGGTAATTTTACACAGTAATCATTTCTCTTATGAGAGAGCAAGGCATATTTAAGATGGCATTCATGTGCCTTATTATATATGATTATATTGGTTTATGATCATCAAAATTTTCCTTAAAACTCTATTTCCTTGATTACATGAGAATCTTAGCTCTCATCTGAAAACTAACAGAAAAATTGAAAGATGCAGCCAATGAGCAATCTTGGTCTTAAAACCAAAAATAGGGTGAAAAAACCCACTCATCAATTAAATATTTTGAACCTCAATATTAACTTCTGAACAACAGAACTGGCAACATTATTATTCTATAGTGATGTCTGGGAGACATAAAGTCTCTGCTCAAGATGTACCTGGTATGTTTGCACTAGGGCTGGTCCTTATCATACCCACCAACAATTTTCAGGGACTGTATTTCATTTAACCCTCTGACATTAAGTAACAAGATGGATGTTCTCAGCATAATTCATCCACCTGAATATATCTGAAACTTTTACATGCCTCCATGGCTGTTCAACAACCTACCCTTTTTAAATGCACAGCCTCGCTGAACCCATCTATAGTACTACAATGAGGTTTCTAACAATCTTCCTGATGATAAGTGGGGAACTTATGTTCCTGTACAGAGTACAGATGAAACCAGAGAGAGGCTTTTTAAATTTTTCATAGGGTTTGACCCTCTCAGGGCAAACCAGCTATGAATTTGCTCTGAAATGTTACTGTGTTGAGATTTCCCATCAACTCTTATACATGCTGAGTTGGTGGTTCCAGCTTGGCATTTCTTCTTTCTGCCCTCACAATCACTCTTTTGGTTCCAGACTCTGAGATATTCAATGACATTTGAAGTCACGTACATTTTCCTCTGCTAAATGTTAGTCAGCCAGCCTCAGCCACCTTTCAGGACTTGTTTTAATTATCATTATGTTATGTTCAAAAATTAAATAATAGTCGAAACAAAGATCATTTGCTGGTTACCTCAGATACTGGGATTTCAGGCCATGTGGAAAAGTGAGTCATTAAAGCTACACAGAGGTTCTTGAAATGCACGCAGAAAGCTTCTCGAAGTCATACACTGTGTTCTAGGTATTAACTTACAAATTTTCCCTGCTAAAGCCTTAACTGGAAGCTGACTGGAGGAATGCAATTTTGGAAACAATTTCCAATGAGATACTTCCTGCTTGCAATGTACATGTTGGTGTATGTGAAATCTGTGAAGTCTAGGATGATTTGAAAAAGCCACTCTGCAGAGAGCCAGAGGAATGCGGTTGTTTGCCTTTTCTTCCCTTCTCTCCACCATCATATTATCATATGGATTCATGCAGCCATGGGGATTAAGCAATGAGCTCTTTCCCTGTGATACTTGAATTTAGTTAAGTACTGCTGAATGTGTTGTGCACTGCTCTGCTTCACAGCTCTTAAAAGCTTTACCCAAGTGGCACTGACATACTGCTTAGTTCAATATTGTATCAGGATACAAACTGGATTTTGACATTTAGTTTTTCACGATAATTTCCAGAAAGGGGCATCATGTACTAGGTGTTAAGATCAGATGAGAAAAAGTCCCCAGGAATTGAAATTTTGGAAACACGATGAAGTGGCTAGTATCCCAGTGTATTTACTGCAGCAATAGCAACCTTTCTTTTTCCTATATGTAACAGTTGCAGTAAAAAAAATGTCTTAGAGGCTGATTAGAATGACTCGTATAGAGAACTGGCATCTAACTGTCACTTGAAATATTCATACCAGGAATGAAAAACTTAAAACCCCAAACAAAACAAGTCACTAGGCTTAAAGGAGTTGAAACCATTCAATGGTGTGTGCAGATGGGCAAAGCTCTGCCTCGACATCCCTCCAGGCCTCCTCCACTGATGACAGGCACAGGGGGTTCACTCCCCCTGGCCCCCGCTCTGACTCAATCCCAGACTCAGCCTCTCTCCATACCCCCAGCTCCCACCAGCAGCTGGCTGCAGTGCCTGTGGCAGCACAGCCATCCTCCTGCCTACAGGACACCCTTCTCTTCCTCCATACCCAATTAGCCATCCTCCAAGCAACGAGTAAAAGCTGCCTGCAGGCAGTCCATGGGCCATGGGGTGTCCCCGTGTCAGGGAAGAGCAAAGGTGGAGTTTTTCCAGCAGTACAGACATGGCTCTGCTGTGCCCTGCTACATGAAGAGCAGCTGCCTGTCGCTGCTGTATCAGAAGCAGGATGCAAAGGAGCTATGCAAAACCTGTCTTCTCAATCCATCCCTTACCTTGCAGAAAAAAAAAATTAAGATAAACCATTGACCAGTGTATAAAACATTTTATGTGTGCTATTTTTGTTTTGTTAAATGAAAAGAAATCTAATAAAAGGGAGAGAAAACAATGCACTGCAGGAGAGGCAATTTTCATTGCAAATCAACTATTTGGATCAGTCTGAATGGATATTATGCGATAGGTGTTTTGCAACAGTCTATCACGCTGGCTCTCTAATAGGGGGCATCACTTACAATGCTGTCATTTAAATGACAGAACTTTATATCTATCTGCCAAAAAAGGAGGAAGTATTAGTCTGCTGAGATCCTTGCAGCTTTTTATTCTACAGTGTACGTGGAATTGCTTAAAACTACTGCCACGAGGTGACTGTATGTGGTTCAATTATAATTTTCAAGAAGACTTCTGCCATGGTGTTTTATTATTGCAGAAATAAATTGCAAACATGCTATGCTCCAGCCACCAAGAAGAAGGAATACTACCTTGAAATATGATGGCAGGCTGGGCTGTGAACACTTATTCTTGCTATGGCAGCCTAACACCTCCTGCCCCTTATAAAGTGATCGCTTTCATCTGCTCAGTTTTTCACCTGCCATGTGCTGATGTCTTCTTGGACTGGGTGTCTTAGGAAGAAAGTGTCAATAAAATTTTTTTTTTTTTTTTTTTTTTGAGAAAAGTGCAGAAAGCATGAAAACCATTTCACTGAAAACTACTGTGTCTCATATTTGGAGAAATAGCTTTCAGTTTAGCAGTGGGATATGCCTTCTTCCTTTTTCCCTTCAAAACCAGCTCAGATCTGGCCAAATTAGGGAATTTCAGTTCACACATATGTAGCTGCAGATTTTTTAGAGGTTGCAGATACATCTCCTGAGGAGATTGACCAGGATCTAAGTTAGACTGCTGGAGCAGCATAATCTTTTGCTGAGACCGCTGTTCCTCCACCAGGCACCACGGTAACATTCATCATCACTCATCTATTACACTCCTTTCATCTCTGTCAGCAAACACAATAATAACCTCTCTTGCTTAATAACTGCATCATGCCAAAAGCCTGTTCCATTCTGTGGACTGAATGAGGTTGAGATCTTGATTTAAAGAAATATCACAGGAACCTGTCCCTCAAGACTCTAGTTTAACACATGATGTACTAATCCCAATGTGTGTGCAGGGCTAAGCCAGGGTAGAGAGTACATTTCTCTGTACTCTGTCCTCCACAGTGGCATTGCCAGATGTAATCACAGAGAGCATAATATCTGCATCACTCTGCAATATAAAACTAGTCCTTCAGCAGAGATGCAAAACCCAACAGCAAACTTATCAAATTAAAAGTCTGTAGATTTTCAGGCTGGATTTATATTCAGTTTACATGCCTATGGCAAGCCAGGATTAACAACTGTTGCTTCACCGCAGTGGAGCAATTTAACGTATGTGTATCATAAACTACCCAGGAAAAAAAGTAATGACAGCAGGTTTGGGCCATCCGGCCTGATTAGTTCAGTTTAAATCAGCTGGCTGGCTGGTCAGGCAGCAAGTCCCCAGGCTGACTTCTGTCACTTATCTTTCATCTTGCAACCTGCTGTCAAATGAGTGATCATTTGGGACCTGCTGCTGTTACATACACATTCTTCTGCTACCATGGATCTAATTTTATAGTTATTATATGATAAAAATACCCTTTTTCTTCTCAGCTCCGTTTTTGCCTGAGGAGACTCAGAAAAAGGTAGGCTGATGGTAACCTGAAGTGGATGTGACAGCAGACAGATGTCACAAGTACCTGAGATTGTAAAGCGTGGCTCTAGCTGGAGATAAGGAGGGGTAGAATTCACACATAGCTTCACATGCTGCTCATGAATGTTATTGCTCTGAGAAAACAGTTACTGTCCTTAACATTCATGGCAGGAGAAGATTCAGGGGTGACCAGCAAAAAAGGTTCAGCACTGCAAACAAGTAATGGATGCAACTGTACAAGGAAAGTACTCTATCACTCTGCTGTCATTATGATTTTTCTAGTTATGAGTGACATTTAATAGTAACTTTCCATGAATTGTTGTCAATCTTTCCTATTTAATTTCTTTCCATTATCACTTAAACAAAGGGGGAAATATTTTTATGATGTGCTATTTTAAATTCTTTCTAATTGCAGGACATGTTCATATCACTGACTTTAACATAGCAACTATAGTGAAAGGCTCAGAAAAAGCTTCTTCTATGGCTGGAACAAAGCCCTATATGGGTAAGTTTTCAAGACCTTGTAAAATGTAAGAAAAGTCAAAAGTTGACTAATGATATATTAAAATGTAAGAAAAGTTAAAGTTGACTAATGGTATATTAAAAGGATTTTAAGTTTTAAAAGCATATAATAAATGTGATCAACTTTTTTTTTTTTTGACAGTATATATGTATTAGCAATGGAAAATGTTGGACATGGAGGGGTAGGGCAGGAGCTCAGTTCTAGTCAGGTTCTGTTTGGTTTTGTGAAGCAAATTCCAGAGAATTTCAACTGTGTTACTTCCTGCAAACAATCATATCTGGTGACAAGGATATATGATTATATTTTCACCACTGTGTCTATTATCTAGCAGACAACAGACAACATGTAATGTCAATTTAAAAGTATCTAGGCACATCCTTAATTGCTTTTCTTTGCTGAGTTCCTCAAAAATGTATCTGTTTAAAATGTAACTAACCATTTAAGTGCTTGCCTTATGTCTTTTAGAGGCATGTTATGTGTTTTAATCATGTATTTTAAATGCATAGATAGATTGAAGGCTGGGAGACTAAAATTCAGTTCACCTGTCCTCATGTGTCTAGAAGTTAAGCATCTTGGCTAAGGTAAGAATTCAAACTTCCCCTGGAGCCGAAGGACAGAAGGCTTCTCCTGAAGGTCCTTTGTCCCACTGAAGTTAGGGTGGCTTCCATGACTAAGAATAAGTGTGATTTCTTCTACCTGTGGCTTCCTACACATCTGCTGTTTTAATTTTCTCTGTATATGGAATTGTCATTGCTTGAGGAGAAGACTAACTTAAGACTAAACCTATTTGGGTTCTGGAAACCATACTAAGTGATATGTGTGTCTCCAAGATGCTTTCACTAGCAGACATGCTCAGAGCACATCTAACACCCATGCAATGGTAAAATATTCTGAAAATGTCATTCAGGAACCAAAGGCCACTGAGTTACCACAGTTTTGCATATTAGAATGATAGAATCATAGAATGGTTTGGGTTGGAAGGGACCTTAAAGATCACCTAGTTCCAACCCCCTGCCATGGGCAGGGACACCTTCCACTAGCCCAGGTTGCCCAAAGCCCCGTCCAACCTGGCCTTGAACACTGCCAGGGAGGGGGCAGCCACAGCTTCTCTGGGCAACCTGTGCCAGTGTCTCACTCTCATGGTAACAAACTTTTTCTTTATATCTAATCCAATTCTATCTTCTTTCAGTTTAAAGCCATTACCCTTTATCCAATCAGTAAATGGTACTGGAAGGCCACTATAAGGTCTCCCCAGCATCTCTTCTTCAGGCTGAACAACCCCATCTCTCTCAGCCTGTCCTCATAAGGCAGGTGCTCCAGCCCCCTGATCATCCTTGTGGCCCTCCTCTGGATTTGCTCTAACCAGTCCATTTCCTTTTTGTTGCAGGCCCCAGGGCTGGACATGGTACTCCAAGTGGAGTCCCACGAGAGCAGAGTAGAGGGGGACAGTCATCTCCCTCAACCTGCTGGCCACACTCCTCTTGATGCAGCCCAGGACAAAGTTGGCTTTCTGGGCCGTGAACGCACATTGTTGGCTCATAGTCAGTTTTCCATCCACTAATATGCCAAGTCCTTCTCCACTGGGCTGCTCTCATTCAATTCTCTGCCCAGCCTGTATTTGTGCATAGAATTGCCTCAACCCCTGTGCAGGACCTTGCACTTGGCCTTGTTGAAGGTCTCTCTCTCATGAGGTTTGCATGGGCCCACCTCTCAAGCCTGTCAAAGTCCCTCTGGATGTCATGGATGGAGTAAAAGCATGAGCCCAAGAAATAGGAATTAACACATATGTTTTTCACAGCACAAACAGCACTGTACCAACCTGCACATGAACAAGAGGCATCTGCAGGGTGCCTCCATACCAACTGTGAGACTGTGTCAGAGCAGTCCTAGGCACTGGAGCAGAGTTGTATTATCAGATATGATGTGATTTTGTCATGAATCAACAGTTAACAGACCAGGAAACATTTTTTGTAGTCCTGACTCAAGCATTTAAATTATGCAGAGAAATGAGGTTTTAAATTTAAAGTTCTTAATATTTTGTATTGGTTAGCTTTACCTGAGTGTCTAGTTCAGTGTCTCTACTTAGATGAGATGACCAGTGCTGCACAGGCATAGGATATAGAGCATTAGGAGGTCAAGTTTGTGTACTGAGCTCCCTCTCGGGGCTGGTACCTGAGCTTTTGATGTTGCACCACAGATTCCCTATTCACTATGGTGAAAAAAAGAGGGGAGGAGATGCTGCGACCTCACTTACACCAGCAGCTTTAGTTTAACAAGAGCTTGATTGAGCACTTTTGCCAATATGCGGTGGGCTTATTTATGAAAAATACAAAAAACCCCAAAATATAACAACAAAAACTCATGAAAAAAGCATTTATTGTCTAAAAGTAATTTGACTTCCCTGCAACATGTACAGAGAAATAGTTGTACAACTGACATGTGAAAGTAGTTGCATTCACAGAAGTGCCCTTACATACTTGGTGACTGAAATGTTAAAGATTCCAACATTTTTAATATGGTAGTTTTGCATTTCTGTGAAAAGTTTATTTCTGAGAGCTCATCTTGAATAGATGACTAGAATCTTCTAGTAGCTGGTGTCATTAGATGTGTAAATTCTTATTACACAGATTATTCAAAATACCCTTGAAGAGTAGCCATTTTGCAGGAGCTTAAACAAGTTTGGAATAGATGCTTTCCATATTTAATTGTGATGATGACAGCAGACATAACAATAGAGTACTTTCTGAGATCTAATATGGCAGTCAATTAAAGATTGTTTTGATGGCTTTACATTTTTAATCTTGAAGTGGTTGCACAGTTTTATACTCGAAAGCATAATTATTATGAAAGCAGAAAATAGCTGAGTACTTGCTTAGGGGTCAGTTAGCATTTTATCATCTGTCTGTCATAGTCTGAATGTATGTAATGAAGAGATTGTCTGGCAGTTGATGATCAGAAGCAGATTAGTTAAAACAACTGTACCAAAATGTGTGTGTGTGTATTCTTCAAATATTTTGCCGAGAGTTAGCAGGAAACTTAGTGCCCTTTGGAGCATCTTTCAGACCATCTGCACACATCGGTGGACCACCATCACCTTAGTTCATTAGTGGTCTCTGTTGGCAGGCTTTTTTCACAAGAAAAAAAAAAAGCTTTTAAGAACAGGAAGGACAAAAATCTGCAGCAAGTGCTAAGTACCATGATTTGGTATTTTGAGGTTAAAATCATGAAAAATGGCCCCATCCTTTTGGAATTGCTACCCTCCACCCCCATAGGGCAGAATAATGTATTCTTTGTATAGCTGAAAATTACCAAGAAATTGTACAAGGAGGGAAATGTTGAGATTCACCTTAGAAAATATCTATCGATTCTTCATCTATTAAATGCAGAGATGCTAGAGTCCAGTCCACCCTGTTTAAACTCTCCTTATGTCCCTTTCCACAGAACTTTCCGTTTGCTAGAAAATGCTGGAGTCCTTGTATTTAATAAGAAAATGGAACATACTAAACTCTAGGATAGATTATGTCCTTTCATAGCCTTATTTTTTTGTAATCACTTCTCCTCTTAACATCATGGCCAATCATTTCTCTGACCCATCTGGAGTGCCATAGACATCTGAGACTCTTTGCCTTCCCAGGGAGCTAAATGAGTTCCTGGAGGGTTCCTGTGAGAGCCCACGCTGACCTAAGGAAGGAGGTAAACTATAGAACTGGAGTGGGGGGAAGGTAGGAGATGGGGACAAGATTTTACCTTTGCATACTAATAAGCTGTTGTCATAGTTCACCTCAGCTCATGGAGCTATTCTGCCCCTGAACCCTCCTCCCACACACATCAGGTCTCCCCCATATCCAATAATCTCTCAAGAAGAAAGTACAAGAAAAATGCTCTCTTTCCCTTTATGAGGAGACTATGGCACCATCTACCAATTTACTTTCTCCCCAGTGTGCCTTTCTCACCTCTTGGAAACGCAAAATTACTGCAAAAGCCAAAAGTGCAGTCTTCACTACTCAGAAAGAGTCAGAAGAGTCATCCTTGAATTTATTTGGAGCTGTAAGAAGGCAGGAAAGCTTTTAGAGCTGTAAAAATCCTCTGTTTCAGTTGAAAAGTGATGGGTGAGGATTCTGTGTGGCACAGCTTGGGTATCAAAGCTTCAGTAAACCTCAAATAATAAGAGTTTGACAAATATGGCCAGGCACTCTTTGGTGCTGCTTTTTCCTCTAAGCACATGGATTTAACTTCCTTTCCTCTTTTAGTTGCACCTTTAATTTTGTGAAGAAACTAATTCACTAACTTTAGTGAAATGCTTCAAAAACTTTTCAGTGCTCAAATTAAGAAAGCATTGTGTTTGCTTCTGATAGTTATTTAAGCCCATATGATTTCTGGCTTTAAGGCTGTGTCAAAGCCTTTCATGTGGTTTCACCTAAGCCATATAGACAATGAGAGAAATAGAAAAAAAGAATTTGGGAGGTTGGCTCTATGGTTGGTAGTAAGCTTTGATTACAAGGAATTTAAACCACTCTTTAACCTTGGTGTAACTAGACAAAATCACCCTCAAGCAAGGTACTTGCCGAGCACCAGAACCAAGGAAAATTAGTGGTTCCTGTAGGACATGCCTTATGCTATGCTGGTTTTCATGTTGATGAAGGTGTAAGATGTGATGAAACCTTTTTCCCCTCTTGGAGATTTATAAAGATTTAGTGCCATATGGATTCTGGGTTTTTTAATCAGATATGAGGGCAGTCTCCAGCCTTTCCCCTAGTAGAGGTACTTAGAGGATTTCTCAGTTCTTCCTGTGGCCAATTTAAGGAAATAAACAGAAAAATGTTATCTCTAAAGCTTCCATTCCTATTTCAAATCTAATTGAAATAGGCTGAGAAATTGCTAGGGAGCAATTTGTTCACATGCAGCATAACTGCGTAAAACTGGTATTCAGGAAAAAAAACAGAGTGAATTGATATTGTGCTCTAAAAATGCACTAGCTGTTC